TCATAGCGGAGTGAGCATGTAGGTGAAACGGAGGGGAATCTATTGTTCTCTCGCAGAAAACCAATCACTAAACAAAAAAAACGATATTTCAATTCCAATATTTTCATTTATTTCGGCCATTTTTGTGTTCGAAATATTTTTTAAATAACTTTTCTGTCTTTTTCGCACCTGTTTCAAACCTTTTTTTTATTTTTTTAACTCGTCTATTGGATAATTGGAAAATAATTAATATGCATAGAAAAAGTAACAACGTCGGGCAGTTCGAGGTACAAGTTGGCAGCACTGATTCACTCAGCTGTTATGATCCCTCTCATAGCGAAATGTATCATCACAATTCTATTCGTATTTGCCGAGCTTGCCCCTCCACGATTCTTAACCTCGACGTTGTCGCTATTCCAAGTTACACACGCAGAATTGCTATTTTCCATGAGTTTTTTAATTATCCCTTCTGAACAATTCTCCTAGGCCACCTGGATTTTTTTTTATGTTCCTCCATGAAAACTCCACTCAAGTGCGAAATTTCAGGAAAATGGCGATTTTTTTTTCTATTTTTAATATTTTTTTTCCAAATTCCCATAAGAGCCCGTGTTAAATTGCATTTTTCAGAAAAATTTCTGTTTCATCCATTCTCCTAAGCTATCTGGGATTTTACATAGGGGTTTTGAACAAATGAAAAAATGTATTTTTAAAAAATCATCAATTTTTTGACATTTTTTCGATCCCCCTGACCATGCCATAAATACCTTCACTCCCTAAAGTGAATTTCAATATCCCCACTCGACGGCCATCAAAGCGGAATGCCAGCGTCCCCACTCAAACGTCCTACTACACTTTACTACGCTTTTCACCTGAGAGGGTTAAACAAATGAATAGTGCAAAATTACGTGGTTTGACGTAATTGTGATGTATCGCTACAGATTCGCAGAAATCACCATTCTCCGCGCGAATTTTGTTGCAGTGTCACGCAAAAATGCCGTTCCAATAGGTAAAAATTACATTTCAATCCAAAAAATTTTCAAAACTCGAAAGGGCAAATTCATTTTTCGCTCTCGATTTTTCCCGAGTTTTCAAGTCGAAATTCCCAAAAGAACATTTTGCATCACTTTAACGTTTTATCACGAAATTTTTTCTGAAGTTTTATCCCCGTTTAGTCATTTATAATATTCAATGAACGCAAAAACTCCCAGCATGAATTTTGAAAGCATCCGACTTATGCTTCTCCTCCTTGTTGAGGTGATCAATTCCATAGAACCGATTAATTGTGTGAATAAAATAGGCCGAATGCTTGATGATAACAGAGATCGCCTGTCAATCGCTATTCAATGGTTTCTTTTCATTCAGTCACGACTTCATTTGGTCATAACGATTTGCGTGATTCTAATTTTATTTACATTTTGTGATTCTAAATCCCTGAGTATTTGTTCGCAGAAACAGAAATATTATTTCCACTCATAATATTTCTGCTTACGCATTGAGCAACTCGATTAATTAACTCCACGTTTCCTCTCTCAGTTCAATAGAATTCCTTCAATAGTCACATGCAGATGAACAATAAAATTTCTAGTATAGAGGAGTTCTATTAATAATAGTCAACGGAGAGAATGTCGCGGATGAATATTGACGGTTGTGTCATCCGCTTTATATTAGTTTAAATTAAGATTCATTCAATCAAGCGAGGTTGAAAATAGAAAAGGATAATATGCATAAAGATGTCTATTTTATTGACGTCGCAGATTCTTTCTCACCATTGGATTTTCAATTTGCTGGATAGATTTACTCAATGCCAAAGTAGAAGAATCGTTCGATATCTGTAATTAATTTCATCGAATATTCTTAAGTAAGTGAGAGTCTACTTATAGAGATATCTATACAAAAAAAAACCTAAATGTAAATTAGGTTTAGGAAGTTGTCTTTTATACTTTCTGAAGCGTTTTTTTATGCTTGATGTTACATAAACGTAATTTACGATTTTGTAGTTGTAAAATAGGATCATATAAACGTAAATTACGATGATATTTTCCATATTTAACGTTTACTTATCCGCAATTAACGACGGATAACAAAAAAAGTTATTTTAAGCGTAAAATATGATGCTTTTCTATAAATTACGCGAGTAAATCGTAAAATACGTTTCAATTAAGATCGTAATTTACGATTTCTTGAGCGTGAGATACGCTTAATGGAAGATACAAGACGCTTTGTCTGGGCGTAATTTACGTTTTCATTTTGACCCTAAAAGACGCCGTTTTGAAGCCTAAATTCCGATTTTCATGACAGAAAAAAGCTACCAGACATCATATTAGCATTACAGTTTGCCAAACTTAATTTACTCTTAGCAAAACTTAATTTACGTTCAAGTTTTTTATGCGTATAATATTTAATAAACGCAGAAGCTTCTAGCATGAATTTTGAAAGAACCCGTTTGATTCTTTTCGTTTTAATTGAATTTAGCAACTCCATGGAACAGATTAATTCTTTGAATAAAATACGCTGAAGGCTTCATGACGACAGATTCTCTATTAATGGCTATTCAACGGCTCTTTTTGATTGATTCCACCAATTGATTTGGTCATAACGTCTCGCGTGATTCTAATTAAATTCACATTTATAAATTAAAAAAACCCGGAGTAATTTTCCGTACCGCAACGTTTATAGAAGCAGAATAGTATTTCTTCGTACTGTTACGATGGAACAAGACTTTTTCACAGTGATTTTTAAGTTTGCGAGTACACGGAGAGAAATTGTTTAGAAAAATTCTAGTGCTAGCACGGGAAAAGAGGCGTAAAGTGACGACTAGGAAAAAATTCCAGTGCCAACACTAGAAATTTTATTGGAGAAAACGTGAATTTTTCCCCGTATTTCTGTGAAAATTTCACAGAAATTCCCAGAAATTTTACCAGAAATACCAAGAAATTTTACCTTAACAGCACTAGAACTTTTCACAGCCGGTGGATTGTAATTTTTTCCAGTACTCGTACTAGAATTGTTCTAGAAAATTTCTCTCCCTGTAGAGGAAATCTGCAATATTGATTATTAGACGAGGCATCGTGGGAAGCAGTACGGAAAATATTATTATCAATTCTAATATTCTTGCTTACAAATTGAGCAACTCGAATAATGAACTTCATTTCTCCAGGGATGGCCATTAATCTTTCGATTCTTCAATATTAAAAAAATTTCTGACTTACATTGATAAAGGTTTAAATATACTAATCGAAATTAAAAAATACTAAAATAATTGATAATCTAAATTTCCAATTGATGGAAAATTAAATATTTAATAATATGGATTTATAAATTTTCCATTAAGTAAATAATACTCAATTTCTTATAGGAGATTTGCGATAATCCAAATAATCGTTAATCGTCCTAATTAAATCACTGATTAATAAATAATTCGAAATTTGAATATTGAAATTGATGATTACTTCAATAATTAGAATTTAAGAGTGATATTAACTAATTGACTACTTAATAATTTAACGGTAATTATAATTTATGAATATGGCTATCTCTGCATTGCTCTCTGAGTTCACCAGAATTCCTTCAATATTCGCATGCAGATGAACAATAGAATCATCTTATATAGAGCAGTTCTATTAATAATATTCAATGGCGAGAATGTCTTGAATGAATTTGTATGCAGCTGTATCATTCGTCTTAGTGTGATTGAAATTGAAATCCTTCTGAACCGAGTTATTAAAAAAATAAATAAAAGAAGAATATCCATGGAAAAATTCTTTTCATTGATTCTGAAAATTAACTTTTAGCGATCCATCTTTGAATAAATACTTCATGTTTTTTATAGACAAGGTTTATAATATTCTCCATTTATTGAAAAAAATTCTAACAAGCTGTACTACACAGTAAAGGCGATAGTAAATAATGAAATACGGGGCCAAACGGGGATTATCTATCCCCTCTAACTGGATGTTTCCATTCTATGAGAAGATGATTCTTACGATGTTCTTAAAAAACGAATCCGTGGTAGATTTAGGGGAAAAATGGCTACGAAAGTTTCCATTTTAGGTAGAATTCAAGGAAACTCATGAGTTTTCAATGATAGCGAGACGAAAACTTCACAACTTGATTGAATTTTCAATGGAACATGAATATCCAGCAACAAAATGACATGAATTTTCAAATTTTCCTTGGATTTCCCTGATTTTCCACAATTTTCACGGAATAATTAAACTAGAAAATTAAATTTTCTGTACTGTTTCTCACGATTTCTCGTCTGGGAATTGGTATTACATACTTCCCAAACTCGAAAACTTGAAAATCACTACAGAAAAATATTGTTCCTAGGCTGTTGCGATGGGGTTTTTTTTTACTCGTGTGTTGGGCAGTCATCGCCTACGGCTCGGAGGACAACGCCACACGAGTAAAAAACCCCATCGCAACAGACCGGAAAAATACCATTTTTATTGATTTTCAGATTATTCGAATTCATAGTCAATGGAATATTTGATTGTTCAATGGCAAGATTTCCTAAAACTTCATTGGAAATTAACGCAATAAAAAATTTCTAGATTTGAAACGTAAAATGCAGAAGAAAATTTGTAACAGTGTAATTCAACTCCTCTGAATATTCTTTCCTACCTCAGCATCAATTGGTGCAGAAATATCATCTTCAATTACAACATTTCTGCTTACGAAGTAAGCAACCCGGGCGCCTACGAAGGTCATCATATCTCATTGAAATGCCCAGTACGAAAAGATGTATCTCAGGCGTGACTATGCATAATAAAGTGTCGGAAGATTTTGCAGCGTTAGAAACGATACGTATATATTTACAGCTGAGATCAGCGCTTCTGAATCAATTTTTCCCCACTTTTTTCATCGACATTCATAAAGACGTCGAATGCATCGGCGATCTTTTAGCGTCGAGTAATATGCAGTGAAGAAGGTAGTATCCCCCATGGGAGTCGCACAGAGGATCCCGTGTTCCATAGTATTATTACGTGGGTATGTGTGAATAAATGTATAATGTTACGTACCACAGACACTCGTGGCAGCAGGGGTGGTGCGCATGTAAGTACGGAATTTACCCAGCCGAGTAATGTGCGGTTACCGAACGTTTCCCTTCTCTTATTCCTGCATGGTGATACACACACTGACGACTGATACATCTACTGGGTACAATTCAAGAGGAGTGCAGCTTTATACTCGATTTTCTGCAAATTAAATATTGAACTGTTTAATGGAAAACTGGAATCATTTAGTATACATTGAAATTTTGTGACAATATTGAAATCCATTTCGTTCGACAGTAATTTGACATTTTTCTCTTTATCATTTGGATTTCATGAAATGGATGGAGAGAAATTCAAATTAATTCAAGAATGAAAACGTCAGGACTATTATTCCATTGCGCACCATTGAGCATTTGAATCGTCGCTGAATTTCCAGATTTTCATTGAATATTAACCTTTACACAGAACTGTTGGTCTGTACCCGGGACGAAAAATCCAGGGTCTCCGTTGGCCCGAGAGACCGTTGTCTCCGTCTCTAAAGTAATTTCTCTCCGCGCCACGGTAGAGAACGGTATGAACGTCTCCGAATGAGAGACTGTTTCGTGAAATCTCTGCTGAATCTCTCAGAATCTCCGAGACTGGAGTCTCTATTGCAGAGATTGTCGCAATATGCAATAAATAGTTGAATAATCATTTCAATCCTTTGTTTAATTGATTAATTTATTAATAAAAAGTTTCATCTTGTACAACACTGTAATGCACAAATAAAATATACTCATTACCAACAAGTTGGGATTCGAACATGACTGAATTATGACCATATTGAACTTTTCATGAACTCTACAATGTAATTACATTGTTAACATACTCATTATGATAATTAATGACAGTATTGCGGGGAACAGAAAAACTGTCGTATTAGAATCTCAAACCTTTGGCTTTTTTTTACTTGATCAAGAACTACAATATTAAATGAACTCATTTTTACCATTAAAAATATTCTGGTGAATTATGCAAGTAAAAAAATAAGTGATATAAAATTTTACCCTTAAAATAATATATCTCAAACATTTTCATAGTTTTCTCCTTACCCGAAAGTACATGAAAACATTAGATGAACTTTTCATAATTAATGATATTCTGTTCGATGATGAAAGTAAAAAAGTACGTAATATCAAATTTTATCCCTTAAATAATACAGCTCAAACATTTTCATATTGTTTTTCTTACTCTAAAGTAGATGAAAACATTAAATAAACTTGTTAGTATAAGAAATGAAATTACTGTGAATTATAACAAGTAGAAAAGCACGTGATATACGTGAGTACATATATATATGTACGTACAATATGGAATAAACTCATCATTGTGATTAATAATATTCTGTTCGACGATGAAAGTAAAAAAGTACGTAATATCAAATTTCATCCCTTAAATAATACAGCTCAAACATTTTCATATTGTTTTTCTTGCCCTAAGTAGATGAAAACATTAAATAAACTTGTAATTACAAGCAATGAGATTACTGTGGATTATCAAGTAGAAAAGAATTAGATTAACATTAAGTATAAGATTAACAAGTAGAAAAGTACGTGATACCAATTATTATGCATATCAAAATATGGAATGAACTCATTTTTGTCATTAATAATACTCTGTTCGATTAGAAAGTAGAAAAAAATGTAATATCAAATTTCATCCTTGGCATAATACATCGTAAACATTTCTGCACTTTTCTCCCTACCCAAAAGTAAATCGAAACATTGGAATGAATCAACTGTGGATTATAAAGAGTTGAAAAGTACGTTATATCAAGTCTTACACACACTACAATATCGAATAAACTCATTTTTATCATCAGAAAATTTCTCTCGCATCATAAACCTGGAAATAAATCTTTGTGATTTCAGTTTTTTTTTTACTGTATAAGATTTATCTTCTTCACGGCTCTCGACTTGGAAACACACACATAATTAAATGCAGTTTGACTAAATAATATTTTCAAACTTTAAAGAGGACGATAAACGTAATTCTGGTTACACAAACTAGGATCAGTCATCTGGTCATTGGATGGCTGGTCCATTGAGCCATAATATCCAGGCGGATAATTATTGTACTGATGGTAGTAAGGATTAGCATACGAACCTTGATAAGTGGCTTGAGGAGCTGATTGAGGATAAGTTGACGATGGGAAATTCCATTGTTGCTGAGGAGGCCCTGAGTACTGAGGCTGACCAGCAGCTGATGCGAAACTTTGAGTGTAGAAATTTTCTTTATTAGTATTGGATCCAGGGTCTTGACTCGAGTTTTCCTCCTGTCTTCCATCAGTGAGAGGAGTGGGCTGGTGATTTTGCACTCCACCATTCACTCCATTAAAATTCACAGAATTCTTAGACTTGATAATATCATCCTTCGGCACAGGAACTTCGAGATTATTCCTTGAACGCCCTGAGCTTTTGGTCTCATTGAGAGTCGACGAGTTGGCAGGGTGGAGTCCCAGAATGTAATTAGAGTCGTTCTGGTATGAACGCTTCTTCTTGTGTTGGGATTTCTCTGGAGTTGAAGTGGTAATTTTTTTCCCCTTAGACTCTTCGAGATCGCCGCTTTCAATGGAAAAATTTCCTGATCTCGAAGCTGCTAGAGAAACACGTAATTTTGTAGATTCATTCTTCATCGAAGGCGAATTTTCCTTCTCTGCTTCAGAATCTTCACCAGGCACAACCTGCTTGAGCCAATCGCTCATGTCCTCAAATGCTGACCTATCAGCGTCATACACTGATCTCTTCTTTGGGGAACCTGCCAATCGTCTTCTTTTTGGTTGTGATGAACGATTGTCCCTTACATCCAATGCCATAGGGCCTCCAGCAGCATCAGAACGTTCTCCATTTTTACCGGAGACACATCCCACTCCTTTAGGAAACTGCAGATCTTTTTGTGAAGTGGGTTTTTCGAGGAAAGCATAGAACTCACCACTGTCCTCTGAGCTCAAAACAATAGCTGCGCTCTTGGGAAGAGGTCTTTTCTTGGCTCTCCTCTTCAAAACAGGTGGTTCTCCATCAGAGACCTCACTCTCTGTACGTTCATCAGTACTCTCGTTCTCTTTCTCATGTGCTGATGACATGTGCTGACTATCGTTCTCTTTCTCCTGTGCTGAAGAGATTCCAAACTTCTTGGCGAGTCTGCAACACATCAAGTTGACCGTACGGTTGAAGGGAGCGCTTTTCTCCTTTGCCTTCAATTTAATCTTACAATGGGCTTGTACATAATCTGTGGAAGGATAAATTGAACAATTATTTCCTCTGAATTATTCGTAAAAATTTCTCAAGAGATTTCCTTACGTACCCTGAACAGCATTGTATAAAATTGGGGGAATCCCAGGTTTGTCACTACCTCCTGCTGCAGTCATAGTGGCCAGCTCGACTTCACCAACGAAAGATTTTAAAAGTCGCCTCAATAGCTCCTTCCATTTTTCCTTATACAGTGTTGTCAAAGTCTCCAGGGTACTGCTCTCCACCCACACATCTGAATTAGGCATAAGCTGAATTTTCCCATACGCCGGAATCTGCCAGGGGAGCGATTTCTTCCTCTCACCACCAGATTTCTCGGCTGATAGTGATTTAAGGTGAGCGACACAGTGTTCCAAAACTGTGGTAACTTCTGCATTGATTAATTCTGGAAAAAAACATGAGTGTGCACATATATTTCATGTTCGTCCGGTTATTATTCTTGGGAAATCCAGTAAGAACCCCATATGAACAAGTGACTTGAGACACTTACCCTGAACTGACGAACAAAATTGACATGACAAAAGATTCACAATTCTTTCTCCCTCCAATTCAACCGTGACAGTCTCTTCCTCTCTCCCCTCAGGATTATTCAGTGCAAATTTGTTTCCATCTTTTGTTGGTACAGTAGAACTCTTCCTTCTGCTTGATTTGCCGCTCTTACTGCTACTTCCTGCTTTGATAGTCTCAGATTTGATGATTGACTTTTCGTCTTTGCGTGTTGATTGGAGAAGTATTTGATTATATTTCAACACCGTCTTCTTTCTGGCTTCTGCAACTTCTTTCTGTCCCTTAGCCAAAGCTCGCTTTTTTGCCATATTTTTCTCCTGTTGTGTCTTTACTGTTGTCCCTGGTTTAACAATTTCTTTGGAAGACCAATCGTAACCTAATTCCTCGAGATATTTTTTATCCTCTGTGAATAAAATTTGTTGAATATGCTAATTTTTGATGAATCAATGTGGTGCATTGTGTTTAGGTCTTTTTTTTACAATATTTAAGAAAACTTTATCATTTCCGTGATCTTCATTGATTCATTGTGCTAATTTCCATTCATAAATATCCGAACATTTGATCAACACGGGAGCAAATGACAAAGTCATTAATTCTCAGTTTCGAAGGAACATCGAAATGTGATTTTTTATGGAATAAATTAATGGGGGACAATTGATAATGATCCGAAAAAATTTGATCATTTATTACCACCAGAGACTGCCAGAAAACAATGACACGTGAGTCTAGTGAATGACTACAGGCTTTAATAAGTTGTCATGAAATGTAGAAAAAATGAAAGAACAAATACATGAAATGGATGTACTTACGACTGTATGCTACAATTTCTGCGACATGTACATCTTCACCCCTCTGTACCATGACGTGGGCACCTTTCTTCAATTGTTTTTTTTTGCCTGGAGGATGACCAATTGCATCCTCGTGTAGTGTGCCAATTGTCTGGTCAATATCGAAATAGAAGAGAATGTGCATGTTGCCTCCCTTCATTCTGTTCCTTTTAATCCTTATGAATTTAAATCCTGTTTTTTTCACAACACATAAACCTCTAAACGCGAAAGAAACGACACGGCTGTGGATGGTTTTTTTCTACACAGACTCGTCAACAGTATCAAAATAATTTTCCATAAATTGAGGTTATTTTCCACGAAACACGATTCACAAAACTCTTGAATCTGTGATGCTTTTTTGTGATGCTTTTTTCCACCAATTTAGCCCACCACTTCGATTAATAATCAACTATTCATTGGCACAAGAACACTGTATATTGCATCGATGCATTACAAAACTGCGATACGTCACGAAATGGCGCTTACAACTGGCTTTGTGCCTCGTGTCTCGTGGCATCGGCTCAGCACGCCATGAGTGTAGCAACAAGCCGGTGTCGGTAACCGGATATTAGGCTGATTC